TTTTATTCTGTGACCCAGTTAGTAAAGGCCTTCATGCAGGGCTTCTCAGAGGTTTCAGGGAAGAGCCACCTCTTCAGGGACTTGGGTGGAGGATTTTCAGAGCCAATTTCCAAATGCCTGTTGCTAGTGTGTGTGTGCGGTGAGGGGTGGAGGGGTGTGCTAAGAAGCCTATAAGGCTCACTCTCATTATTTTGAGTTTGGGCAGCACCAAATCTGAATGGTTGGGAAGAGGGGAACCGAAAAAACCTGGCCCATCAAACACACTGCATTTGAAAATGCTGTATTTGTAATATTTCTATATAAAATTTTTATACTGAAATAATAATAGAGATGGGCTAAGTGATCGCATATATCTGATAACTAGTTAGGCTGTTCTTATCCCTCATCCCCTGGAGTATAACAGTAGTAAAATGTGAAGAATAGAGACCTTGGGTAGACCAGACCCAAGCTTTGATTTTGTGCTGCTCCCCATGTGACATTCCTCAAATAGAGTTTCAAAAGGCACATTGAATACACAACTCCCCTTCTTCCTGGCATGCTCAGATCTAGGAGCACCTTCTCTAGGTCTTCCTCGCCCTCTCAGACAGAGACCAGTCCCCTCTTTGTGCTCCCCAAACCATTTTCATGGGTGGCTCCATCTCCATACCTACTGCACTGAACTACAGTTGTTTACTCTTCTGGGTCCCTCATTGAGCTGTGAGTTTCCTGAAGTCAGTGATTTTTTCTTCTATTTTTATATTTTGCATCTAGAATAGTGTTTGTGCATTTTGGAAACACAAGCAATTTTTGTTGAATGGATGTGTGAATGCTTGAGAATGTGAATGAATGAATGAATCAATCAATCAATCAAAATATAAGAAAAATATCAGAAAAATGTTAACCCCCAAATGGAAGCCAATACAAGCATAAAGTGTCAATGACTTTACATATATGCAGAGTGTATGTATGTAATGGTACTTTCCAAATCCAATTTGAGATGACAAAATCATGGCAGCAACATGCGTATGAAGTGATATACTCACGTCATGTGTGAGGCACTAGGTGGTGAGAATGGTGCTGATTAAACTCAGAGCAGGGTGGTAGGAATTGATAGCTTTTGATCTGGACTTGGGAGAGAGATTTGATCTGTTGAGCACTGGAACGTTTTGGTCTTAGTTATTTCTCTTGAGCAAGGTTTTTAAAAATTTTTTAAATTTTAAAATTTAAGGGTAAGCTACACCTTAATAGACATGTTTATCTAAAGCATGGCTTTATTGCAAAAAAAGAAAACAAACAGCTATTACACCTCTGAAATGGAAGTTATATTAAACCAGTTATTTTATTCTCACATGCTTTGGTTTCTTTCATGTATAATTTGTAAAATGATAATAGCCCTTACTAGTATTTACATTATAAAATTGTTACTGTAAATTAGATAGTATAAAATGGGTTATGATGTCTTCTTTGAAATACAAGCACTATACAAAAATGAGTCATTATTATTCAGCTTTTCCTTTTCGATTTTGTTAAATGAGAATTAGATGAAAACTCCGCTTTAAGCACTATCCAGCAGGTAAATGATTATTGACTTGAGTGAAATGAAAAAAAGTTTTTCAGCTGTAAACTCAGTTTGCGCAGCTTAGCTAGTCTATGCACAAACCAAAAATGTCGTATTTATCTGTGATGTTTACCACTCTTCTTTATCTCCTCTTTGTACCCTAATCACAAACTGAAGACACGTAAGCCTTTCAGTTCAGTCACGGTGTGCATTTTAGAGAGCACAAATACCCTGGAATGATTGCAAGTTAGAAATAGTGTTTCAACTAATCAAGCCATGCAGCTAGTTTTGTTATTGATTTAGGGCCTAAATGAGCCTTGTCAGGCCTTTACTTCAACCCCTGGTTCTTAGGCTTGGGATAGCGAGCACTGAAGCCTTTTCAACTTAGTGGCTGGACACTTCTGGCTCCCCATTAGTACTACCCAGGCCAGCGCCTTCCTACCTTCTTGGAATACAGGATTATGATGGCAGGAGAGGGGTTGTGAAAATAAGGTTTTGCCACAGGGGTGTCCAACCTTTTGGCGTCCTTGGGCCACCCTGTAAGAACAGTTGTCTGGGTCACATATGAAATACATTGCGACACGTAATTACAAAAATGTCTCATAGTGTTTTAAATAAATGTACGATTTTGTGTTGGGCTGCATTCAGAGCCATCCTGGGGCCCATGCAGCCCCCAGGTTGGACACTTTTGGGGATTGTTGTGAATGTCAGAAACTTTACTTTGTATCACTAAGGTGTGAGAACTGAAACAGCACAGTGCAAGGATGCAGGGTAACAGAGCTGGTGGGGGTACACTCGCCTGTCTAACATTATTGCTCCTGGCCTCTGTGTACACTTAACAGCTTCAGCCAACTTCTAGTTTTCTGTCCCTGCGCTTGGACAGTCCCCTGCTCCACCCCCCTCCAAACACCTTACAGTGTTCATCTGTTATGCCTTGGTTCACCTTCACTCCTTAGGACTAACCTTCAGCATTGCTTGCAGTTGTGGTCACCTGTTTTCCTCCTGACCCATTTATTTTGGCTTCTGGGTTTTGCTCTTCGGGAGCACCCCTGCCCGGATAGTTGCCTGACCAGCTGTGGGGCCGGCTGCCTGCTCCACATTCCAAGGCAACCAAACTCCTCTTCCCTGCCTCTCACTGGCCCCGTTCAGGAGCTATGGCAATAGGTGAGCAGTAATGACAATGTGATGATTGTTTCTGACGAGAATTTTCACCTGTGAAGATCCTTTCCTTGGTGGGCTGCTCAGGTGTACGTTCGTGCACCACAGCGAGCCTTAGGTCCCGGAAGCCTGTGTGGATCTTAGAGTCCCAGGGAGGGGGTGATGCAGAAGATGACTCAGGGGCAGAGCACAAAAGGCAGATCTGGTTTACTCTAGTTTAACCACATCCAGCGCTGGTTCAGGGACAATGGTCTAACACACAGGTCATGCCCACCAAGGACATTGCCATGTAGTCAATGAAGCTAATGTAAAGGTAGTGAGGAAGACTTCATGGTGGCCCCATTTTCCCATTGTTGGGAAGAAAATCCAGGGATTACATCTTCCACTTTCAAGGCAAATTTTTAAAAATAGTTGTCTGCATTCACTGGCTCCATTTGTTCAATTCACTGTGACCCAGTTTCTACTTCCAGTGACTCTGCTTTTGCCTAAGAGGCCAAATATCTTCTTGGTGCTCACCCCACGGGCACTTCCATTTGCTTATTACTTGATCTCTTGGCAGCATCTGCCTCCGTTGACCACAGTCTACTTGAAACTGTGCTTTTCCCTGGTCCTCTGTGATACTTCACACTTCTTGTTTCTCTCCTATCCCTTGGGCTGTGCCTTCTCACTCTCTCTTTTAAGGATCCTTTTTCTGCCCATCCTTTAAGTTTTAGCACTCCTCGGCCTTCTCCCCTGGGCTTTTTTCTTCTCTGATATTCACACGGGGTATCTCCTTTATCCCCATGGATTCTATTGTTGTCAGTTGTGTTCTGGTGATTCCTAAACCTGTATCCTCAGACTTCTGGATCACACTGCCTACTGCTACCCTGCAAATGTTCCCAAGGGACCAAACCAAACAGGACCAAGGCTGAATTTGTCCCCTTCTGCCCCAAATCTCCTCTATTTTGTATTTGTATTTTTGCTGTTTAAATAGGTGAGAGCATTGTCCCCACAGCTGTTCAAGTAAAAAATCTGAGCAACAGGCTTGACTTCCTTCCCTTTAAAACTGAAACACTGAAGCAATCACAAATTTCAGTAGATTCTCCCTCCTCTATAACATGACTTGTAAGGTTATGAATAATTGGTCACACGTACATTCCAGACTCCTTTCTGACCACTCTGCCTCAGCTGTGCTGAATGATTTTCAGCGCAAGATCATAGCACGCACAGTCCTTTCTGTCACCTCCAAAACTTGCATCTGCTGACAGAGACCTGCTTCACCTCTTTATTGGACAGATTCCTTCACACCTTGTAAACCTTCATGTAGAAGTCACTGACTTCCAATTCTTCCAAAGTCTGGGTTAGGTGACCCTCTTAGAGCTCTGGGTACGTTTCTCTTCATAACACACTGCTGTCTCAGAGCTACGTTTTCTGTTTCCATCTTGTCCTCTATTGTAAGGTCCTGTAAGCAGGGACCATATTTATTTATTGACCTTTGCATTCCAAGCACCAACAAAGTATTTGGTACAAAACAGCTGCTCAGTGAAGGAATGAATGAATATAAATGTTAAAATGTCAGCATTGGAGGCAACCTACGTATCCATCAACAGGTGATTGGATAAAGAAGATGTGGTACATATATAAAAGGGGATATCACTCCCATAAATGAGAATGAAATCTTACCATTTGCAACAAGGTGAATGGATCTAGAAAGTGTTATGTTAAATGGATTAAGTTAGAGAAAGATAATGCCATATTCTTTCACTCATATGTTGAATCTAAAAACCAAAATAAACAAACAAAACAAAACAGAAACAAACTCATAGATCAGAGAAAAAGCTGAACTGATGGTTGTCAGCTGGGAGATGGGTTGGGGTGGAGGTGGATGAAAAAGGTGAGAAATTAAGAAGTACAAATTGATAGTTAACAAAATAGTCATGCGATGTAAAGCACCGCACAGGGAATTTAGTCAATAATAGTGTAATAACTATGTATGGTGCCAGGTAGGTACTAGACTTATTGAGGAGGATCATTTTGTAAATTATATTAACCACTATGCTATACACCTGAAACTAATATAAAATAATATTGAATGTCAACTGTGATTGAAAAAAAAAGTCTAATTGTGAGAATACAAAATAAATTTCCTATCTGAGGGTGCAATTAGGATTTTACTAAAGAAAGGTTTATCAAGTCCCTCCAACATGAAAACTATTTGGAAATTATCTGAAACTATTTAGAATAATTTATTAACATTAGGTTTGTGTGCAGAGCGTAGATAACAGGGGCAGATTTCAAATCTGTCCCTTATGGGCTTCTTTTCCAGAGTTCAACATCCAGACTCTCCGAGCTGTGTTCAGGTCACCCAAGCATTCCATCCTCTTGACTTTCCATAAACTGCTGGATTCATAACCTGCTCCATACTTGAGAACATGCGGATTGGAATAAGGTACGTGTTACCCTTTCTGTTTTTTCCCTCCATTGTTTAGTCTCCAACTATATACTATCCTTGAAGAGCAGTAACTTTAAAATTCTCTCTCTGGAATGTTCCTCAGGAGATGTGACTGGCTTCCCTGCCTGCCAGGCTGGCCTCGCAATGTTGGATGCTCCATGCATGTGAAGAAATGTAGTGAGGTCTCTTGAGGAATTATGTCCTTCCAAGTTTTCTTTTTTATTTCATGACTATTTAAATTCTTCGTCATTAATTTCTCACATGGAGAAAAGTGTGTTCTGAGAACTCAGAAAGACCTGCCGCCCACTTTGGGACGCTGCTTGGGCCAGAAGCACACTAAGAATGGTGGACGTGAGGGGCACACTCACACTTCAAACAACTCTGGGTTAACCGTGCTGCCTGTGGACAGCCCCTCACTCCATCCACCCACTAAGGGGCTCATAACCTTCTCTAGGTCCTTGCCTGCTTTAGTTTTTCATTTTAAAAAAAAAAAGCTTAGCATTATGTATTTCTCTCCTAATTTTTTATTCTTTATTTTTCCGACTAGAATGTAAGCTTTGTGAGGGCAGGGATTTTTTTTTTTTTACCACTGTATGCTTAACACTGGGTACATGGTAGGCACTCAATAAATAATTGTTGATTAAATAAATGATGTCTTCTTAAAAAAACTTTAAGAGGCTGATACACATCTAGATCCTTAAGGATCTATGCAAGTCTGCTTTGCAGCCTGGTCCCCTTAATGTTTTATTGATGATGAAGATGATAACATTGATGGTATGCTCAAAAAATCTAGAGATGACACACAACTAGAAAGAATAACAAATAAGTTGGATCATACAATTAGAATTCCCCTGCCCTTCAAATTCTGACAAAATATAATAATGAATCATATTTGACAATATAATGTCAATGGGGACAAATATGAAATACTCAAAGATTCTAAAATTCAATTGTACTAGTACAAGTAGAGGGCAAGATGGCCTACAATTGCTCACGTAGGAAGCCTTAGTCTCCCATTATTTATGAGTAGACGATGAATTAACACAGTGTGCTATAACTTCCAAGAAATCAATCTCTTGTTGTATTAACAGAAATACAAAGTGCAAGTGGGAAAGTAGTACACTGGTGCCAATGTGTGGTCAGGACACATTGGTTCTGTTTCATGAATTCGGATCTTCAACCTTTAGGGAGACATTGATAAACAAAAAGTTTTTCAAGAATAAAAAGGATAATAAGGGATCTGGTCATCAGTGTCAGCAGAAATGATTCAAGGAGCTCAGGCTGCGTATGGGTGTGTGAGGAGGAGGGTGAGAGTTAGGCTGTCCTGCAGAGAAGAGATTCGATTGCTCCTTGGTAATCCCGAGTGATAGTTCAAGGGCCCGTGAGTGAAAGATGTAAGCATGTATATTACAAGCCAGTAGAATTTCCAGCAATTAGATTTTCCCAGCAATCAAGTGGGCAACTCCTGGAGGTTGTAAGTTTCCTAACCCTGGTGGTATTAAGCAGCAGGTGGGCATTCATGCCCCACTCGCCAAATGCATTTGTGATGGAAGTTCAAACACTGGGATATTGGATTGGATTAATCACAGTAGCAAGCACATACGAGTGCTTACTATTTGGCAGGTATTGTAATAAGCAATTAATGTGGGTTGCTATTAATACATCAATCCTGCTAGTGCCACCATACAGTTGAGAAAAGTAAGGTTTAAAGGGATTAAGTAACTTGTCCAAGGTTTTACTGTACAAAACAGAGGAAGAATTTGAATTTAGGCAGTCAGATCCCCTACCTTTATTATTCTATAAGGGCTATCACTTCTAAAAAATCATTTTGGTCCTACTGTAAGATTCTGTTTGAAGTAATCAAACCAAGGAACTTATCTCCAGTTGCAAATGATTCTATAGTAAATAGGTCCAATACAGTATGTGGGAATTAAATTATCCTGGGCATTTGCCACTTGTGCTACACTATATGGATCCTAGCATTGGACCTGGCACACAATACGTGCTCAATAATTACTTATTAAGTGAAAAGAATAAGTGGATGCAACCACACAGCTGCATGAAAAATGACAGAATCTCAATATATTGTGGCTGAGGATAAACAAGCACATTTTGGGGTGGTCTGCTGAGGACACTTGGCAGAAAGTGAAAATCCATCATTCTTAGCAAAAGCACTAAGAAGTCCTGCTGTTGTTTGTACAAATATTTATTGAGTACCTGTCCTGTACCAGGTGTGCCCGATGTGCTGAGAGTGCAGAGGTGAATCAGAGGATGCACTGTTAGTGGGGGAGATGGACAGGTAAGCAAATTCTTATGATACAATGTGATGAGTGCCACAGCAGGTGTCTGTGTGTATGTTACATGTGTATGTGTATGTTTTAAGTATTGTACAAGCATAGAGCAGAAAGGAACTAATTCTAGTTGATTGAAAGAGTTGTTGAATACTTAGATTATGTTTTTAAAACCACTGCCACATATGCTGTGTGAGTTTATTTGGTCTTCACAAAGACCATGTGAAGTTCTGATCCCTTTTTGTAGGAAGAAATAAAGTCTCGTAGAGGTTAGGTGAGTTCCCCAAGGTCATACAGCCAGTAATAATAATTGCTGACATTTACTGAGTGTTTAGGATACCCAAGGCTCTGTTCTAAGCCCACTGAGACATTTAATCTTCACAACAATTCTATGAGGTCATTATTGATATCATCGCCATTTTATAAATGAGAAAACTGAGGCACAAGATTTAAATAACTTGCCTAGAGTCACATAGTTGGAAAGTAGTAGCTTTAGCAGGCACACACTTACCCATGCACTAAATTGCCTTTAACTGGTACCCTGAAGAGCTGGAACTCAAATGTGGGTTCTGACTCCAGGTTCAGCTTCTTTTCAAGTGACATTGCTCTTTAGCAACATTGCATCCAAATGAAAAGAAATGGCACCCAAGGAAGTGCTTGGGAGAGGCACGATAAAATCTAGATTAGACATTAGCTGTGTATGCAGGGTATCTCTGGGCAGCCAGAGTTTGGTCTGTTGTTCTCCGCATCAGCCGTCTGGGAACAAGCCGCCGACACTAACCCTGCAGCCTTTTTAAACCTAGTTTAAATTTTTCCTGAAAGAAAACAACAAGATGTGAAACATTAAGAGTAAAAGAAGTTAAATTCGATACCTTATATATAAACAAGAATGGAGATACAGGAAAGGAGACAGGAAGCACATAATTGCATAAATTGTCCCAGCTTTCTCTCCATAAAAAAAATTCTGGGATTGAAAAGTGGTTCAATCTAATATTATTGTGCCTTAATAATTAAGTTGCATTGGCTCTATGGCAAATCTGACAAAGAATTGGTTATTAAAATGAATGAACTAGGCTACCTTTCCCTCAGTAATTACAACTTCACTAATGTGGATATAATCTATGCGATCAAATCTATTGCATTTTTAAGACATCCATCTTCCATAATTTTTTGAGATGTGGTAATTTTAAAATCAACTGTAAACTGGGATTCCTGTAGTAGGTGGAGAAGCAGAAAAGGTCAATGTTCTTTGACATTCTTTCCTTCAAAACAGGTGGGGTTTTTTGGTTTTGTTTAGTTTTTAGAATTTTGATGTGTCACGTATACAGAGACCTAGCAGATTCAACTGATTATCTTGGCCTTTGTATTTATGGATTTCTGTTTTCTTGGCTTCAAGTCCTTGGAAACATTTGTTTTGATGGTGGCAGGAGAGTTAGTCATGTTTTATTTTTGTTGTGCCTATTTATTTTTAAGATCCCTTAGTTAAAGTCTACTTCCAAAGTATTGTGTAACTGCATTTATGTTTCCACAAATAAAATATTCCAGTAGTAACTTCAAGCACAACTTTATAGGAATAGTTAATAATTTGATGCCTAGCTGATGCCCATCAGAGTTATTTTGTAGCATTAGAAGCTAGAACAAGGGTGTGTGTTGGAAAATTATGTTTGAAATTTGTAATTGGACTTAGCCTTTAACATGCAAAATTTCAAGTTTCTTAGATCAATTATTTTTGAGTTACCAAGCAGCCAAATTCTTATAAACATATTTTTCCTTTTCATCACTGAGTCAACAAAAGCTGGAAAATTCTTTTCTCACATGTTCCATTCTTTAACTTAGCCTGAAGGTAAATTGCTTTTTAAAAACCACATCCCAAACAAACAGTTTTTCATGGAGTTATGAGTAAATGAATAGAGTGGGCCCTACTGGCATTTGGGATGTACGTCTAATTAGAACTCTCAGTATTTCAAACATGTAATTTACTAAAGTTGGGGTTTTTAATTCTTAGCTTTGAGTCCATTGGGATGAAACAAGTGACCCTTGATGGAAATAGGTCAAGAAATCAACTTTCTCAAGTTGACTTTTAGTCTGCTGGTCACCAAATCAAAACACTGTGTATTGCCAGGCTTAAAGATGCCTGAACCTTCTTAAATGTGTTAAAAGATTAAGGCAGAAAGCCCGCTCAGCTTTGCTGCTGTGACAGACAGATTGGCCTGTCCCTTCTCGTTGATGCTTCTTGGTCGGTTTCTTCAGGAGAGAGGCTCCATCTCAGCCAGTATCACCGTCACTGCGCTACGAAGCACGTTGCACTTTCAGTACATCTTTCAGTGTATGGGGGAGGCGGAGAACCCTGACTTTACCATGAGACAGATGACTATCAGCCTTTGATCTGACTGGACATACTTTCTAGTGCAAAGCTTGCTAGGCACCAAGGACTGCTACAAACACTCTCAGTCAGGAGTGTTCACAAACTTTTAAAAAGTTGTGACACAAGATTCATGGTCAACATTCTTGCGTGACCTTGAACAAGCAACCTAACTTCTGTCCAAAATAACTATTTCACAAGGTTATTGTTTGTAACAAATCATTGGGATTGTATATGAAAATATTTAGCACAAAGCCTGGCATGCAGCTACAAATGCAGCTTGAATTTATGTGAAGCATTAAAACAATGTACGGAACTCAAATGGACAAATGGGCCATTTTTTAAATCAGAAAATTTCACTTCCAAATGAATAATTACATTTACCAACAACTTTATTTTAAAGTCTACCTTCAGGACAAAATGTTATTTTAATGATAATCTGTTAATATATTTCATAACAAGAGTGGACTATGGTTTATTTTGGAGAAAATTACATGGGAACAAAGAAGGAAAATTGTATAAATGAAATGTCTCTATTTCAAAATAAATGAAGAAGAGACCATTTTCTGATTAAAGAAGATTCAGATGATGACATAATTATATGTCTATATGTAATTATAAAACATACTTGTTTTAATAACTTGGTTTAAAATTTTACTGATCTTAAAGGACTAATTTTCTCACATTTGAATGACAAATCTTACAGTACCACTATTAACTATTAATATGCTAAAAATGCCCATTCACTATCTTTTTCTAAAATTGCATCTACTGTCATGGCTTTACATTTATTTTAGCGATACCAAAGAACTTATTTAAACTCCTTGTTCTCTCTGCATATTAGAAAGTAGGAGACAGAAGCATTCGCCCGACCTACTTAACTATGAAAAAAGGATTCTCCCAAGTTACTAGGAATTAACACTGTAGTAAAATTACAAGAAAATTGTGTTAAACCTTGTCTCATCTGCAAGTTATTTGACTGAAATCTGAGGTGCTGACTTTCAGCACAAAGGTGACTTTGGAGGCGAAAGTTTGTGCCAAACTGGATCAGTTGTTTTTGTGTTATGTAAGGAGGAGAAAAAATATTAACTGTTTGCTCCTAAGCTATAATTTTAAGATTATTTTATTATACTAAAAGGCAGAATTTTCAAGCCTCAATAAGTAGTATCTACACCTACTCTAAACTAAATATAATTAAATGTTAAATAAATTGTTTTGCACAATATTTAAAACATACAAAGTAATTTTATTTACCCTGTTGAAAGTAAATTCTAGTTGAATTGTGAAAATGGTATTGTTAAACAACTAAAAAGTTTTTCATTCTAAATAACTTTTTCCTGATTATAAAGAATGTGATCTTACTTATATGTGGAATCTAGCAAAACATAATAAATGAATAAGCCAAACAAAACAGAAACAGACCCATAGATACAGAGAACAAGCTGATGCTTGCCAAATGGAAGGGGGTGAGGAGAAGAGAATAAACATTTTTTATTAATATGAAATATTCAGTATATGTTCAAATTTTCAATTATCTCATAAATGTCATAATTTATAGTTATAGTTTGTTTGAAGCAGGATCCAGATAAGGTTCCTATACAGTACTGAGCTTGGTTGATATGTCTATTAAATCTTTAAAAATATATATGGGTTTCCACTGCAATTTACTTGTTGAAGAAACCAAGTTGTTTGTCCAGTAGGACTTCCCATAGCATGGATTTTTCTCATTGCATCCCCAGCATGTAGTGAACATGTTCTTCTGTCTCCTGTTTCTTAAAACTACCTATTGGCTTTCTAAGATTCAGACTTTTTTTTTTTTTTGCAAGAACTTCACAGGTAGTTGTGCATTTTGTCATTGGGAGGGGCATAATGTGAAATAATCTCTTCTTTTATTATATTGCCTAGATTCATTAGTCTATCAAGGATTGCAAACTAGTAATATTTTAATCCTATTATTCCTTGAGTTGATTCTGTCATGTGCCAATGGTGGCCAAGTAGGTGTTTTGTTATTTTGTTTTTTTAAATATCATTTGAACTCATTAATTGAAACATTATAATTCAATACAACTAATCTATTATTCTCATTAATGCTGAAATTATCCCTATTTGGCCTGTGGTAGCATCTTCAAATTGGCTCCTGAATCTTTTGACATGACCCTAATAGTTTTTGATAGCTCCCCTGCTATTTGGTATGATCAGATGGACTTCAGTATATATAAATATACTACAAAACCATAGGACAGAAACTATAATAGCAAAAGACTGGAACCAAACATATCTATTAATAGAGGAGTGGTTGAACAAAGTATGGTACAGCTACACAGTGGAGTTCTGTGCAGCTATAAAATGGAATTAAGAATCTTTAGATATATTTATATGGGTTGATCACTAGAATATATTGTAAATAAAAAAGCAAGTAGGGAAAAAAAGTAGTATGGGATGCTATCATTTATGTAAAAATGGATATAAATATATATTTACATACATTTATATATACAGACATACATGCATATATAGATGTATATATATTTGCTTATATTAAAGAACAAACAAAATAATAATTACCTATAAGAGGTGTAAGGGAAAGAAGTGGAAGGGATTGTGATAGAAACTAGACTTCTTTGAATTTACCTTGTTTTGTAGGTTTGATTTTGGAATCATGTAAACATTTTATGTAACTATAAAAATATTAATTTTAATATGCAATCCCTATTTTCTTAAAAGCCTAATTGTGTATCCAATTGATAGAATACAGAGAATTATTTTAAGAAACATTAATTTGACTTACATATTCATAGTGGGATATACCCTAAAAACAGAAAGAACTGCAAAACACTTTTTAACAGTTTTTGGTAATTACATTGTTGGTGGTAATGTTGATAATGCTAGCCTGGGGAATACGGGATAACCAAATATTAATTATGGGATATTCTAATTCTATCATGCTCAGTGTCCTTGAGAATCAGGATTCTCAGCATGGGAGGGAGAAAATATGGACTTAAAAAAAAGAAGAGGTTAGGTAAGTACCCCGTAGCTCTCAGTTTGAATTAGAAATTAGTGATATAAACTTATGAAGCATATGTATATGTACAGATATATTTCCTAGCTCCTCTGTTCGCTAAAAAGACCTAGAAATAGTGACTAAGCCAGTAGCAGTAAGCACCCTTGGTATCTACACCATGATCTGGCAGAGGAAAGAAAAATGTCCACACACATATACATATATATCATGAATGTATATACATTTAGGCCTCGGTCAGGTAGCTCAGTTGGTTGGAGCATCGTTCTGATAAGCCAGGGTTGTGGGTTTGATCCCTGGTCAGAGCTCGTATAGGAATCAACTAATGAATGCGTAAGTGAAACAACAAATCGATGTTTCTCTCTCTAAAGTCAATAAAAAGTATATATACATTTATATACACGTATATTTGATATCAGTTACTTAGACATTCTTCTACTTCTGGACATTTAGATTATTTACAAATCTTTACAGTTCTGTGTAATACTGCAACAAAGCATTTGTGCCCTTATTATTTTTTTTAGTACAAATTCCTGTAAGTGGAATTACACAGCTAGAGGGTAGGAACATATTTAAACTCTTGATTACTATAGTCAAACGCCTCTAGAAAGGTTAAAACAGGTTACACACCAAGCGGCAGTGCAGGAGAGTGATTACTTCATCCCATTAACAGTTACAGACATTTTAGACATTTACATTGACATGCTTCGGCCAATATGAACTAAGTCAGATAGAGTCACTCCTTTTTATTTTCTTCTTTGTTTTCCTCTTCCTGATATTTTGGTAGAGGAACTTTAAAAATCAATAATACCATGTGGAAAATATACACTGAAGTAACATTTTTGTATTTATGTTCTGAATTAATAACTGTATATCAACAAAGATTAGAATGGCCTGTCAAACTAAATGCTTACTTATAATTAATGTATGGAATTGCCAATACTTTAGTTGTAAACATATATATCATGAATGTATTAAGATATTAACTTTTATAGCTTATTTGGTAATTTGGTAGCTACTTTTAAAATTTCTGGGGGGTTTTGATTATATAACCTTATAGTTGCAGAACTCTTTATATGATACTTTTAATGGTAACTAACTTGGCAAATATTTCTTACATGTACCATAAATATCATGAAAGCAAAAGAGAAAGTAGGTTATAGATAAAAATCATAGACTAGATTTTTACTAGACAGATGTTAAAGATCACCTGGTCCTGTCTCTTCACTTTATCCTTTGGGAAACTAAGGCAGAATGTGACTTCCATGAGTCTAACAGCTGATTTATGATGGAGTGATGTAAAGATCCAAAACAACTCAATATAGTGTGCTCTTCATGTAACTGCTCAGAATTTACAAAAATTGAAGGCAATATGCAAAAATAAAAATAATTGCTGTTAGAGAAAAAGGATTTGGAGTGTTTCCCTTTGAAATTCTATTATGTTATCTTTTCAATAAAAACCCATAGAAAATGGATCAAAAACTGTATTATAAAATCAGATGAAAGAGCACTGCTGTTATTCGGAAGCTAGAAATAAATTATTCTAATAGTAGGGATTTATAGCAATCAAAATATACAGCATCTAAATGCCACACACACCCCCCCCCACACTATTGCAAGCACTTCACTGGCATTATCTCATTGAATTCAACAATAGTCTCAAACGCACAGAGGGTATGTGACTTGCCCCACGTAATCTCATGCATGTCAGTCAGGACTGAGCCTAGGCAGTCACAGACACAGTGGTTTGTTTTGAAATCTCAAGCCTTGATGGCCCATTTCATTGCTACGGAGGGATGCTGTGATTATCTGACTCTTCCCAGCTCTCTCTCTACAAGGTCAGAGTTTCCACTTTACAAATTCATTCATTTGAATGATATGATACAATTCCTTAGAGCAAAAATTTTTAGAGACAGTTCTTCAAAACCCCTCACCTGCCATTTGTTATGTGACTTTTCATTCCTCATCTGTAACATGTGTATGGTGATATCTACCTCATTAGACTATAGGAGGATTAAATAAGATAAACTGTATCCATGTTCAGTAAATATTCAATAAACAGTAACTGCTCTCATCAGCCATGGCTGTCATCATCCTCATTATTATCAACAATATCATTATTATTTCTTTCCTATTGTCCATTTTTTAAAGGCATAGCCTTGTAAAAAGGAGAATACATTATCCAAGGGGCTAGAGACTTATCAGCTGGTCTCCTGACAGGAGAGAGCATAGAGGTAGTAAAGCATGGGAAGGAAAGGGAGATAATTGAAGAGCGAGGTGGGGGACCCTGAAGGCAACTTAGAGCAGAGTTTTACTGCAAACCAGTTGGGATAAGTTTACAGAACAGTTTATTCGAAGTCTAGTGCTTTTATATGGAATCTTGTTATCTTTATCAGTTTCCAGAGGGTCTGTTAGGGAATGAGGAAGGGCCCTTGTGTCCAGGAAAGCTGTGGACACACATCGTCTGTTCTTGCTTAAGGACTCCCAGGCACCGAGGCCGCCTGCCTGTCCATGCCGCAGTGGTGGAAGTGGGCAAACAGCCCTGTGCAAACACTTCTGTTTACTGTGCCTGGAAATAGGCTCTTTGCCATGGAAAAATTTCTCATTGTACCCATAGGTACAGGACACATATTGCACAATAGAAAAGCAGTTGTATTAAGACTCCTTGCTAACCTGTGTACACGTGCTTCAAGCCGAGGGCTGTGTGACGTTTCTGAGGAGTCATTCCACTTTTTCTCAGGGGTAAGGCCTGAAGGTGGTCTTTCTTCTAGAATCCTCCTCTGGTCACGGATACCCAAAGGTTTACTGTTTTGTGCTACCAGCTTCTCCCTCAGGTCCATGTACCCTTTGATTTCCCTTATTTTCTTTCTCACTTTTCCTTGTTGTGAAAAGAACTTAACCATGTGGTAATGTATAAAATGGTACAAAAGGGCACTTAGGGAAAGGTGCATCTCACTCTCATCCCCAATCCCCAATGCCACTCGGTCCAGCAGTCACCACAGTTCACTCAGGAAACAGCGTGGGGTGCCTTCCCTGTGACAGCCACTGTCCTAAGTGCTCAGGGTTGAGTAGCAAACACTCAGACAAGATCCCTGCCTTCTGGTTGGAGTTGATGGGTCACACACAAGATACATAAGCAAATGATTGTCTAGTATATTAAAAAGTGATAAATGCTACCAACAGAAATAAATAAGAAAGGGTTAGGGTGGGGGAGAATAATCAGAGGTACTGCAGTGGTAACTGAACAAAGTACTGAAGGAAGAGAAGAGAGGAGCTATCATGGGGAAAGAATATTCTAGAAAGAGGGGAAGCTTGTTCAAGCAAAGTTGGCATGCGGGCATCACAGGGTTTTGATTAATGATTTATTTTTATTTAGAAAAGGCTTATAAAGTTATCTACTACAGGCTGAGTGTTCTTCTGAGCACTTTATATTGTATATGTTAACTTTCTTAATCCTTGTAATAAGCCCAGGCACTCTTATCATCCCTGTTGTAAAGAGAAACTGAGGCACAGAAGAGTTAGGTAGTTGTTTAACATCACAAAACTAGCAAGGAGTGAGACCTGGACTTGAATGCAGGCTCTTTGGCTGTGTCTGGCCCATCCCTTAACTGCTGTGCTCCACTGCCACACAGTAGGCAGGTGGCACTGAAGGGAGAGGGGCCACCCTGCAGGTGAGCTGGGCATGTTGGGAGACAGGTACAAAGGGACAACAGAGACATTCTTTCAGAAAATTCTGGCACATTTACATGCATTTATGTTAATGGATATGCGTATACACATGTGTGTCCTTGAGGTTTGTGCCCTGCCCTCTCAGTAGCTAAAATGTAGTTTACATCAAATGTAAAACCATTTTAATTTATGGGAAGGAAAGACTTGATTTTTGTACACTTTAGTGAAAGGTGATATCCTATCAAATAATATTTTGGCCATGGGTGATCTGTTTTTAAAGTCTTACAAATAATTCCCTATCCTAGGATTCTGGCAGTACTTGTGCATCTGACTACGCTTCCCAGAACAACTAATTGAATTTTTAAAATTTAATTTAATTATTATTATTTTAATCCTCACCTGAGGATATGTTCATTGGTTTTAGGGAGAGTGAGAGAAACATCAACATGAGAGAAACCATTGATCAGTTGCCTCCCATATGCACTGTGATCGGGAATTGAACCTGCAACCCAGGTATGTGCCCTGATCTGGGATCGAACGTGCAACCTTTGGTGTATGGTACGATGCTCCAACCAACTAGTGACTCTGCTAGGGCATAAGTCAACTTTTGAAAACAACAACTCATCCCTGGGTAGCTCAGTTGGTTAGAGCTTTGTCTTGATATGTCAAAGTTGTGTGTTCAGTCCCCATTGAGAACACATACAAGAGTCAACCAATGAATGCATAAATAAGTGGAACAACAAAACGATCTCTCTCTCCCCACCTTGCTCTCTCTCTCTCTAATCAATAAATAAAAATAAAAATGAACACAACTCTAGTTCTTAGTATATTCACGATATTGTACAATCATTGTCATTATCTAATCCCTCAACATGTCCATCACCTCAGAACAAAACTCCATTCCTGTCAGCAATACTTTCAACTCTCTCCTCCCCCAGTGCCTGGAAACACAAATCTATTTCCTGTCACTATGGATTTGCCCATGGTGGACATTTCATATAAACAGAATCATGCAATATGTGGCCTTTTGTGACTGGCTTTTTTCACTTAGCATATGTTTTCATATGGATATATTTTCATGGATATGTTTTCAACATTTATCCATAGTTGTAGTGTGTACCAGCCCTTCATTCCTTTCTGAATGACATTCCATTGTGTGAATATATCACATTTGCTTATCCAGACATCAGTTCATGGACATTTGTGTTGTTTCTACTTCTTGGCTGTTATAGATAATGCTGAATGTGTACATTCATGTACAAGTTTCTGCGTGGAACATATGCTTTACAATTCTCTTGGGTATACTTAGTGGAATTGCTGGGTCTTATGGTTAACTGTGTTTAACCTATCAAATCAACTTTTGAGCACAGTGTATCACATAGTATCTTTCTGCTTGTAAGGAGAAAAACATAGGAGCAAGCAGTTGTCGTAACAAATGTCTTATCTTGTTCTATTTGTATGAGAAGGTGGCAGATTAGTGGTGGTGCCTACTTCTTGGTGTTTAATGTGTCATTGGCACTCTAGGATATATTGTCCATGAAGATCTCACTTTGGGGGCCACTGCCACAGGATACATGGAGCATGACCATGAGGAAGTTACCTTTGAAATAACTGGAGGGCTCAGTTATTTCCCCAGTTTCCCCAGTTATGCCTAAGAGCAACCATAGACAGAGCCAGTCTGGAGAAGAGGAGGCTTCGAGAAGATTATGCAGTTCTCTAAGAATCATGAGAATGGTGATAGTAGAGTCCCTAACTTTTTAGTGCTCCCTATATGCCTAGTACAATGAGTAGCTAAATGTTTTACAGGCTTTTTCTAGACCTGCACTCTCCAGTATGACAGCCACTGGCCATGAGAGCTTGAAATGTGGTTAGTATGACTTGGGATAAACCATGTGTGTAAAATACACATTGCATTCCAAAGACTTAGTACCAAAAAAATAATGTAAAATATCTCACTAACATTTTTACAAGTTGAAATGATATTTTGGGTATGTTGGGTTATGTAAAATATATTAGTAAAATTAATTTCTCCTGTTTCTTTTCTCCTTTCTTAATGGGGCTACCAGAAAATTTTAAATTACATATGTGATTCACATTTGCAACTTGCATTATATATATCTGTTGGACAGCACTTGTTCTAGACTATTCTTCAGCTGGAGTAATTTGATCAGCTGGATGGTTTATCCTTCCCACGTTATGAGTGAGGAAATGGAGGCTTAGAGAGCTTAAGTAAATTGCCTGTGATCATACATCTGTGGCTTAAGAACAAATCTGTCTGTCTCCAAGCCTGAATTCTTACCCATTACCCTGTGCTGTCTTCCCATAGTCCAGAAATACAACCCGTGTGATAGAGAAATGGTTATGATCATTAGCTGTGGCTAAAAGCAGTTTCATGTGTCCACTGTAGAGAAAAAGAAAAATTGTTCACATCATTCTGTAATGTAGAATTTAGGCTGTATTGGGAAAAATTACCTCTGGGAAAGTTTCCTAAAAACTAAGTATTTGTAATATTTTGGGAATTACTTGCCAAGGATAGAAGTTTGATGAAACTACTTCAGAGGTTACTTTCATGTCTGTGATGCTACATTACAATTCATGTTAGAGTCACAGGTCAGTTGCTACTGTAACACTCAGAATGAGACAAACTAGAGTGAAATGAATTAGTGCTTCATTTTTGTCCTTTTTTTCCTGTAAAATATAAAACTTTAATTTCCTCCCATTTCATTTGAATTTGTGAAAAACCTCAACGGGACATTCTTCATAGCAATGCTGCCCCCATCTAGATTGTAACGGAGAGAAGGCAAAACTGTATAGGAGAGAAAGTGTCCTGCCATTTCCTTTCTTCCCCCGCTACCTCAAACCATTTTCCGAAATACGAGGCCTGTCCAGAAAAAGTCCAACTACTGTTAATATAATGAGAACAGTTTGTGCAACATCAATGCAACCTGGCAGCCAAGGAGAGTGACCTGGAGTGCACATACATGAACAATGACGACTTCACTATACTAGTCAGTGGAGGTGGCAGATGCCATTGAGTAAGCACATGAACCGTGTGGTCCTTATATTCAAAATGAGTGAGCAAGAGACTTTATAATGGTTTTAAATTTTTTTAATATTTTATAATTAACTTTGCCATTTAGAAAAATAAATAAAATCAATCTGTATTTAAGAAAGAAAGAAAGGGAGAGAGATGGAACTCCTACCTTTTGCGACAACATGAATGGAACTGGAGAATACTATGCTAAGTGAAATAAGCCAGTTGATTAAAGACAAATACCATATAAGCTCACCTATAAATGGACTCTATTCAACAAAATAAACTAACGAACAAAATAAACCACAGGCACAGAGACATGGAGCAGACTGAAAGTGACCATAGGGGATGGGGAAGGAGGACAATGGTGGAAAGAAGGGGAAGGGACTAGACAAAGAACATGTATGAATGACCCATGGACATGGAGCACAGAGTGGGAACTGACTGTGGGAGCGGGGATCGGGGGTGGGATGGGTGGAGGGGAGTAAAGGGGTAAAAACAGAGACAACTATAATAGAATAACCATGATTTATAAATTTAAAAAAGTTTTTAAAAAATAAAAATAAAACAAAAAAAAAATGAGTGAGCAAGTAGGGCAACAAATCTGCATCAAATTTTGTGTTAAGCTTAAACATTCCCCTTCAGAAACTATTTGGATGAGTCAGAAGGCCACAGCTATGGGCAACTAATGACTGGCAGCTTCATCACGACAATGCACCCATTCACGCATCATGTCTCGTGCAGTTTTTTGGCAAACAATCATATCACCCAGGTGACTCAGCCCCCCTGCAGCCCAGATTTGGCACCCTGCAACTTCTGGCTTTTCCCAAAACTGCTATCACCTTTGAAAGGGAAGCTATTTCAGACTGTCCATGAGATTCAGGGAAATATTATGCAGCAGCTGATGGTGAGTGGGAGAACTGTGTGAGGTACCAAGGTGCCTGCTTTGAAGGGGACTGAGGTATCATTGTCCTATGTACAACGTTTCTTTTTATCTTCTTCCTTAAGTGTCTCTATTTTTCCTGTTACATGGCTGGATACTTTTTGGACAGACCTTGGTAGAGGTTTTCACGCAGTCACATCCTTCCTTCTCCTAAGGCATCAGTGTCATCCCTCACCCACCAAGAATCCTCGTGTATGCGTATTAATGCTATTACTATATTTTAGGTACTATAACTTAATGTTATCCTCATTTTACATATACTTATGGATAACATGTATCATGGATATAATTTAATTTCAAATACAAAAGGAGAGGTTGAGTTTAGAAGATTACTACCTTCAGCTTTTTTTCCTAATGGGGAGAATTGGGATATTCAGGAATTATGCCTCAAGGTCTCATCCCCAATATTTAAACCCTCTCATATTATTAGAGGCTAGAAATGTTGCTGACAACTATTAAGCAAAATCACACATGCAATTTTTTTTCTGTTTTTTCCCCCCAGACTCCAAATTTACAGACTACCAAGAAATAAGGCAACTTGCCCTGGCTGGTGTGGCTCAATAGATTGAGCACTGGACTGCAAACCAAAGGGTTGCTGGTTTGATTCCCAGTCAAGGCACTGCCTGGGTTGTAGGCTGGGTCCCAGAGGGGGATGTTTGAGAGGCAACCACACATTGGTGTTTCTCTCCTTCTTTTCCTTCCTCCCTTCCCCTCTCTCTAAAAATAAATAAAATCTTTTAAAAAATAAAAATAAAATAAAATAAAAATGGGAATTTGACTCCTAAAAAATTAAGTGCAGCTCAAAAATCAAATTCTAAGAAGTTAAAAATTCTCTAGATATGTATGTACTATGTTGTTTTAATTTTTATTTTTAAATTCAGAGTCAGAATTTTAGTGTCCCTAGTTTCACTTGGTTTAAATAGCTACATGGAAAATAAATTTTAGCATCTGTTTTCTGCTTAGTCATCCTTCCTTAATATTCCTTAGAGGTTTCAAATGTACTTCAGATGAGATAATAATGAACCACAGAAAGTCAGAAAGGTGGAATGGTATTGAGAAAGGTAGATGGAGTTGGGATTCAGATGGCCTGAACTCTAATTGTATTTCAACAATGAATTAATAACAAGGTCTTGGGGAATTTAAGTACCACAAACATTTATTGAACACCTATTATGTTCAAAGCATTGTAATAAATGGTATAGGATAAGATGTGGATTCTCAAGGAACTTATCACTTAAAAGGAAAGAAAGCATATTCACAAATTATATGGTATATGGTATAATATGGCACAGAGTGTATGAGTAATGGAACAGAACTTATGGGAGCACAGAAGGAAATGACCGTAATTCCAGTGGGGGAGATCGGGCATGACTTTGTGAAGAAGGTGATATTTGGTGTGGTCCTAGAAGTATGGGTAGGATTTCTGGGTGGGGCTAAAAAGAAAGGTACAGGGAAGGGGAGACAATAGAAGCAAAGGTGGACAGGAGGAAAGTACAAAACTGGTTTAGGAAACTTGTTAGACAGGAAGGCACAGTT